GTATCATAAGTGATTTGATCACCAGCCAAGTCAGGCTGCAACATATATTTTAGGAGATGCTGCAGACCTCTGTGATGTTTGCCATGTCATACAAGAAATGCAACATAAACGGCGAATAAAACACTGATAAAAAATTTGCCAAAAAGCAAATAAAATATTGTAGTAGCACCAAGATCATTATGCAACTATCATCCAACAGCATGCAGACACTTTTGCTGCACTTGTAGATATTCACTAACCTCAGCATACCAAATGCTCAAAAGTAGCTCAAACAGTTTCAATTACTTACTGATGAACATAGATGATTATTAGCTGGTCTACACCAGATACACAGGAGATGTTTAAGCATAAACAAACACCAATATCATTATATCCTATCATTATATCCTACTCTCTGATTGTAAATGTTACATAATGCACAAACCTCAGATGTGAGCAGCCTTCACATTTCATATGACGCACGTCATTCCTGTTCGTACTCCCTTGAAATCATATGTTAGATAAGCTAACATACATGTCCAAAAAAAAGTGCAATTTGTTACCAAGTTGTACAAAGACATTCTCACTTTGACTCTATGAGCTCAGTGTTTAACTCTACATTTTTACTCTTGACTTTTTCATGCTTGCCTGCTATGTTTAGTAATAGATGATCTTGGTCAACAACCAGAGGATGGTGTCATTTTAAGAAGGCTCTGAGAGATTTTATGTAACATCACACCAAAGAGGAAGTTAGACCTATGAATGGCTGTCATTTGATTCTCAGCTCAATGATGCCAAACCAGTATGTGTCCTCTCAAAAACACAAAACGATACACAGTTTGCCAGCAACCTGGGGGAGGGGGTTCTTCAGCTATTGAAAGACATGAACTGTTGCTATAGAAATAGCACCAAACCAGTTTCATCAGTTTTGTATTTATAAATGGGTTAGGTCCTATACTTAAGTCTGAAGCTACTACCATTAAATATTGATACTGAATAGCAGCTGCATAAGTGAAGCTTACAAAGAGATAACAGAAAAATCCAGAAGATCATTCAAATTTTTTTTTTTGTTGTGTGAGACTTAAAGTGATTCAGCAATGTCCCTCCCCCGTCTGTTTCTACTAACATGTAACACATTTACAAAGGGGATCTTATTGGTTTATGAGATATCAACAATAAAAGCGCTGAAAACTTCTTTGACGGCAACTTTCACAGGAATCTATTTGGTCCTAGATGATATTAAGTGCAAAAATATTGGCAAGCTCCAGCTTTCAGAGTTGGTGATCTAACTTTGGTTACGGCTGGGTTACGGCGGCGTTGGATGCAGGAGTCGAAAAGCTGTCTTTTCAAACCCCAACCCCGGCTTTCACTGTCATTGTATCCCTAGGCAAGGCACTTCACCTGAATTGCCTAATGATGACTGGCAGAGGTCCCAGTGTACGGCACCCTAACTTCTGTCAGTGAGCCCCAGGGCAGCTGTGGCTACAATGTAGCTCGCCACCATCAGTGTGTGAATGTCTGAATTTAGCGTAAAGCACTTTGGTCAGTCTCCTGACTTAAAAAGGTTCAATAAATGTACAGGCCATTTATCATTTTGTACCTTTAACAAGGAAGTCAAACAAACCTAACTTTGAGTAGAGATCTGATTTAAACCTCTTTGAAGGAAGCAAAATCTTGCAAATATTTGGTTTCACACAGCAGGTGAAAAGACTTATGAGTCAGTCCCTTTATATGGATTAATAGTCATTAGTTAAAAAGCCATTGGAGGTAGATTATTGTGATTATGGTGACATAATCAAAAGGAGGAATGGCAGGTAGAGATATGGATCAGATTTCATTTTTTAAGTGATGATGCAATTTTTTACATCTGAACACAATGTTTTCTGGGAATTTGAAGCTTTATCATTTGCTTTATCCAAATCCAGCTGTGTTTTTTTTTTGGGAGTCAACCTTCTAATAAATTTGATCTAATATACTAAGAAAATAGCTTGCAACCATGACTCAGTCACCCTGGTTCATGTTAAGATCACCAGTAGATTTGTGCATTTGTGGGTGCATGATGAGACGGGGGAGGATTTACATCACACATGTAAACATATTGGTTAATGCACCTCACAACTACAATTTAGAGTACAAACAGAAAGCACAAATGTTTAGTAGCTGACTAGCTGATATTAGCTTCTTTGTGACCCTGTTTGGGATAAGCGTGATGGATGGGTGATGGATGATTGCAGTGGAGATTAAAAAAGAAAATATCAGTAGATTAGGCGCTCCCTTATGGTGGACACTTTCCAATCAACATATCAGCTCAACCCAACATGTTCTAAAATAAACACAGCCATTGTTTCCTGTGTTTTGTCCTGCCTCCTGGGTGCTGCAGATGGACACTCCCACCATCCGATTTCCAGCTGTGTCAAAGCATCCCAGAAAAAGCAGTTCCCTCGCTGTGAAGGACCATATGTGACCAGCGGCAGAGCAGGAAAAAAATCTGGACCAACTTGTCCACACATTCTTCAGCACACTTTCTTTATTAACAAGTGAAAACATTTGCCGTTTCTGCTTCTGTAGCCTAAGGCTACTGAAGGACCTCTGTCTGAGGAATCATTAAATTAGCTGATTGACCCTTTAAACTTCCTTTCCACCTTTCTGCAACCACCTCCGGTTTTATCTTTCTGAACATCTAGAACTGACCTGACCTGTCTCCATTAGGTTTCTTCTTGTCTATCACTCCTCTTTCCACTTTCGCCCCTTTCCACCTCCCCCAGTTTTCCATAACCCAACCAGCTGAGATATCTTGTTCTTCTAAAGATACATAACACCTAAAAAAGGGTTACTTCCTTCTTCTGAATTTAAAGAGGGATGTGGCTCGATAAATCGCTCATGTATAAAAAAAAAAATGAACAAGGAATCAATAGTTAGCTTTGTGCCGAAAAAGAGGCATAAGGGAACAACTCAATGCGAGATCATTTAATTTTAGCACACATGAACAAAACAAAATACAAAAAGGCAGACAAGCATGCCCACACATGCACATTAATATGCATGTTAACATATCCCAGCCCACTCCAGTAAGCAAAATACACACAATTACTTCAGTGTGCTCTCACAAGCATAGATCTGCATTAGTCTTTTCTGCAGCCTTAAAACTATGCAACTTAAACACACACATTCAAAGGCATGGAGTGGTTTCACAGAGATAACATTTAGAGTGTCAAAGTCCACCTAAACACCGTTACCCCTTGTTTAAGGACATATTTATCCTCACATTGCGAACAAAAACTACTCAGTGTAAAACAGAGATGTAGGCAGACTGAATGTTTTCACTACCCTCTCCTGCAAAAACACAGATGTTACCTTCAGGTTTTCAGTTCCCTTTAAGCAGCATAGTTTAACTGTCAGCTCACAGAATAATCACAAAGGGTTACATATATATAAATCTTCTACAAAAGTTTTGTCAGACAGAGAGTTTACAAGCAACTTACAAATGAGGGAAAAAAAGCCAAGAGGGAAGCAGATCAACTTTCTTGAAGAGTCCCAAGCAAACAATGAGGACAGGAGAAGGACTAGGAGCAGTGGAGGGAGGGAGAGGCGGAGTTAAAGCACATTCCAGTTAAATCAGTGAGTAGTGATGTCACATTAAGGAAAAAAAAAAGAAAAAAACAGTAAATGGAAACTCTAAAATAAGTCAGGACTGATCAATACTCTTTAATTTAGTCAAATATTCTCAAACACAGTTAAGAAATAGTGGAACACATTGTTTACTTACACTTAATCTTTTCTGGCGTAACTCCCAAGTTACCAAAAATGAATTTTTTTAAGACTCACCCAAGTGGAAGATATTATGCAATAAGAATTTCAAGTATTTTGCAAAAAAAAAAATAAAACAGGTAGAATAGCTGTCAGCAATCCCCTGTCAAAAGATTGGTACAGCTGTCTCACTAAAAAATGCTGAAGAGCCAAAAAGTTTCACAGCAACAGAAAAAGGAGTAGCACCAGTAGGTTTAAAGAATGTTTTTTTACTTCCTTTATCTCCTTCTGCTCACATAGCAAACAGCCTGACTCACCCACACATTTATATAGGGAGGAAAAATGGTATCTCATAGTCAGGTGTTAAATGTGACTCAACGGCACTCTGAGTGTCTGTGAGCTGTACACATTGTTGCTAGATGTGGGTTAAGAGGCGATTAAACTGAAATGCTAAGACTTTTTACCACACATCATAAGCCTCAGCAAAACCACAACAACAAAAAAAGGCTTTTAGGAAGTTCCACAAAGTCCTTAAAGGTTTCACAATCTCCTACAATGACTGTAGGTGCAGAGAGATAACCTGCTCATCACTTTGGAGGGGATTGCTGCCATGTCATTATCCAGCTGCTTTCCAACATTGTTTCTGAGGTGAAAAGGTCAGTTGGTAATTCACAGAACTAACATCCACCAGAATTCCATCATTTTTGTTTAATTACTATGACTCCATGTTTTTAATATAAGGATTAGGATTAAAGCAATGAAAGCCTTTTTCTATGAAATCCCTACACGTCTTTTTAGTTTAGATTCATCTCTGACTGGTTAGCAGGTATTGCTACAGGAGAGACATGCTACGTATTGCTGAAAACAAAAGGAAAAACAATACAAATGCTCCGAGTAGAGTTTTGAGGCTGGTTTCCATTCCTCGTAAAGCTTTGCACTGCCTCTACCTTCCATGAATCTATGATTATACACCTTCATGCATGCAGTACATAGGTCGGAATTCAAACCCCACGAAATTTTTGCCAAAGAGAAAAGTGAAACCAGCTGTTCCCACATGTGGCCATCTGCATTAATCAGTCACGGTCACTTTCAATAGATCTTTAAAAATGTTAATAGAAGAACATTAGAAAAAGAAATTGCATTCACATTTCTTCTTCTTGCCTCGCCACAGTAAGTGGCCATGTTTTTCTATTGGATGAAGGAATATAAAAATGCTATTTTACCCTGTTCAGTGTTCCGTTTATAAAAACACAGAAACATTGATTTTAACTCACATTGTTGAGCTCCCTCTGATTTCCATACAGTGGATGGTATTTCCGGTATTTGCCCTGGCGGTATTTGTTAGTGATGAAACGCCGTCTGTCCTCGCTGCCACTGGAGGGCGATAGAGCTTCACTTGGCGGGATGTTAGCAGCCCAGAAACTGTTCACCCGCTCGTTACCAAGCCCTAAGAAAACCTGTTCCATAGATGAATACAGTTATTTAAATATGAAAGAGATAGATCAGAATTCAGATTTAAAAAAACTGGAGTTTTAGAGCCTTCAGCTCCACTGGTTATTACAACTCGGTCTTAATGTTGTTGGTTTTTTTGTGCTTTTTTGTACTATATAAACTCTTTTTATATTGTCTTTTGTATTTTATCTTTAATGGCAACCTTTCCTAAAGGAGTAATCCCAATGGATAAATAATGTTGAGTGTAAGTCTAATGTAAAGTTCACTGAAATTCATCCGTGCTTGTGGCCACATTTTATTTACATTTGATGTAAATTATGAAAGAAGAAAAGTTTATTTTCTAAAACAGGTCTGGAGCCTAATGACTCATTTTGGTCTGTGTAGCTGCAGGATATGATGGTAAATTTTCTCAGTTTATCTGAAGATGCTTACTGCTTACTGTATTTCACAAGGAAGCTATAAACATCTAAAGGATTCAACATTTAATTTGCATTAAATGATTCACAAAAAAATCGTCATTTGAATAATAATCATTATTGAGTGTCTAGTGTAAATAAGTTTTTCCCTGATTCTTTTAGTTCCAACTAATAGAAGCAATTTTCTGAAAACAAGGGTGACAGAAAACAGGTTTTACATAGCCTTTCACACACTAGATGTTTGAAAGGAATTTTTTTAACTGCATGTTTACCTGAATAAGCTCCTCAGTCCACACCTTCTTATCCATCTTCAGACTTCGTACTTTAGAGATGCTGGGACCAAGTCCTCTGTGTTCTCCTGAAGCATCAACATACAAATGAAATCCCGATTATGAATAAACCATTTTAGACACTTTTATTGTACTACAAATCCTGTAAAGGCTTGTCGAGTTAAACTGTTAAAACTGTGGGAGTCTGTTAAAACTGCCACCATCCTCTTCATATGCAGTTTGCATTTGTTCATTCTACATTTTTCTTTACGTTAAGTGGATGTTTTGGTGATGCATAGCACCTCTATTTGTTTTTAATAACTAAAATGGAATACTCTCTTGCTGATTCTATAGCAACAAGTATGGAAAGAAGCAGCCATGTGATTGGAATATGTATAAACACTAGGAATTGACAGCAAACTAGGAATTCTTGCAGTTTGCATCCCTGGATGTTATGTTTGTGCTGGTTATCTATTAAGGAAATATCAGTGTTAAGGACATTTTCACAATGTCACAAAAGAAAACATTTTCTAATACCAGTGGATTTCCCAATGAACTCCCCTCAAGGTCAAACCATGCAACGCTCAAGGAATTAAGTAAAATGTAAGAACTCTATAAAACTCTTCAAACCTATATTGGCATAGTAAATACTTGATAAAGTCTAAAAGAATCAATATACTCATCAAAATAACAGCCTTCTACCAACTCTAGGCTTTTTGGCAGCCACAGCCTCTCATTAAGTGGTTGAACCATTGACCTCTGTATCCTAATGCATTGTAAATTTTACAGCTGAAGCTTTCTCAAACAGTAATAAACAGTGATCATCCCAGATATCCCCACAAGTGTAAGGCAGAGTGTTAAAAAAAGAAAGAACCAAGCTGTTTCAGTGATGCCATCAAAGTCCGGAACTTGACCTGATTAAATCTGATGTTAGACCACAAGGGACCTGTTCAGAGACAAATGACTGCAAACCTGAATGAACTAAGGCAATGCTATCAAAAACAGCAGCAAGAGAATGTCGTATTGCAGAAAGCTTTCATGTGTAAAGTTCAGCTTCTCTGTATGGACCTCATTCAATAAATACTGCAGTTTGGAATGCGTTGTGTGATTTTATACACCAAAAGAAAGGAAACTGACCAAAGCAGACAACATATAAGCAACTCTGAACACAGTTGAAGACCTGGAAGTGATGAATACACAAACCCCAAAGAAAACAAAACACATCTAACTGCACTCACACTAACCTGCACATCGCTTGCAGATCACCACACACAAGTTGATGGCTGCCCAGTCTGGCTTTGGTGCGCCACAGTCCGCGCAGGAACTGTTGCTAGGCTCCGCCCAGATCCGCTCGACGACCTCACTGTTGGATAACGCCTCTCCTATGGCTTCCCTCATGGCTTTTACCCACTGCTCCCTCATCTGCTCTGATTCTGCTATAAAACTGTGGAAAAAGGCATGAAATTTAATTGAAAACCAATTGATCAATCAGTTTGAAGTTTTTTGTTTTCAATATTCGAACAACCTAAATCTATAGTCGCTGAAAATCATACTCATCCAGGTCATAGTCATTCCAAACAAGTAAAAAAAAACAATCCACTAGACTCTGTTTCCAGGTTTGAAAACGTTTCACTTCCCACCCAGGAAGCTTTTTCAATTCAAAATGTCAGAAATAGTGTTGAGCTCAAGGCTTTATAGAGTGGACCCAGGCAAAGCCTTGTTTTGGCTTAGAAACATGCAAATTTAACCTGATGAGCGAGTTTGCCCCTTTCGAATGAGAGTCGTTTTGTTTTATTGCTAGCCTGTAATACCCGAAACCTCTCTTTGTCCCTGAAAAGGGGGTCTAAAAGGGAATTGTAGGTCTGGCTGACCTGGCTCACCTCGCCTCTTCAGCCAGACTTTTTTTCTTCTATGTCAACTGTGATCATCAAAATCCACTAAGATAAAAAAAATAAAAGGCACTCTGTGTTTAATAAATCTAAATAATACAGCAGTTTAACTTTTTGAACTGAATGGTAGAACTAAACTAAATCTAAACTAAATCTTTCAATTCAACTGTAAAAAGACAAACCTGTGTTTGTTTTGTTTTGCTTTCTTTGACCAAATTACCTGAATATGCGGTAAGGTGTGGTGAGATCGAAGCTACGGCGATCTGAGTCCTTCACATTTCCAACATTCATGTCAATGGATGTGATTCCCACTCCGATACGATAATCCTGGAGGCAAAACAGAAACAGTTGTGGTCCTTTTTCATTACCCATTAAAATTATACAATTAAGTTCAAGACAAAGATAAAAGAAAAGCTAATAAAAATGTTCCTAAAACTTTATCTTTGAACGAAAACTAATAGACAAAATCTATAAATATATGTGAAATCCCTTACATCTATGTTTTTATAGAGGAAGACTTTATCCGAAGCAACAACAGTGTAAAGCTTGGAGCGAAGTCCTCTGAGCTCCAGATAGCCCTGATAATCTGGAGCCAAGGGTGAGCCACTGGTCAAGCTGCTTTGGCGGTGGCGCCCCCCGGTGCAATCCCGTAGTACACACACCCATTCATTCCTCTCAGCTGCGGGAAACAAATTCAAATGGTTGATTGGGTAATTTTTGCTAAGTAAATTGCAGTGTAAACACATATCAAAATGAAAACACAAATTCAACGCACTTTCACTTTCAGCCCTGAAGATAAATGTTCGGTTGTTTGTGGCAACTTCAAACTTCAGTTCCCCCACACTGGATACACTAGTGATAAACGCTGTAGAGATGAGCCCCTTGGAATACACCTCCTAAAACATCACAAATGTTCTGTTAAACAAATCCGTAACATTCACTCTGTGTGCTTTAAAATATGCAAACATTAGTGTATTTTGTTACCTTCTCATTGTCAAAGTATCTCAGATAGTCAACATCTAGCTTAACCCATCGTCTCTGGTAATAAAGAGCTCTGTATGTCAGAAACGTAGAACAGAAGTAAATTAATCTCTTTTAACTTAAAATATAGGAAGTGTATAATTAGCTACTAAATCAGTAGTTTACAAAGCTGAACACTGTGCATATAAAAAGGTGTTTACCCCTGTGGTGGATTCTTGTCCAGCCATCCCATCTTGATGACAGCAGCGAGTTGGGAACTGTCTTCCTTGATGGATGGAGAAAGTCTGCCGGTTTGAGGCAGGCAGAAGCTAGACTTGCTGCTATCATTCGGCCAGGGAGGGGAGCTGCGGCTGCACAGAATTAACAAATAAACTCATCCATTGGTTGGAAAGTACAGTTAGATTAAGAACTCCAAAAAGTAGTTGATTGTTTCTTCAGCAGCTTTAGAATAAATATTAAACCTTGGAAGAGTCTTTTCTCTTTTTTAAAGACTTCTTTTGCCTTTTCCCATATTTCATTAATTAACTTCTCAGTAAATAAACAAGCTATACAGAATCCAGTTAATGTTATGGTGACACCAGTCAACTAAATAAGTGAAATCTTAAATAATTTTTTGTCACATCTTTAGAAAACTTAGTTTATCTTAAATAGGGAAGCCAGGGCCTATCTTGGCAAAGAACTAACTTAAAATCACTTAAATTGAACCAGTCTAGCAAAATGAATTAAGTCCTTCAAGTTAAATTTAATATTGAGATTAAACAATGAGGGCCCAGATAGGCTATTTGTTGCATTTATAATACAATCGCAATTTAACAAAACAAATCTTAAATCACAGAGGAACACAATTTTAATTTAATAATTTTAAACTAATATAATTGTAATTGCAATTTTGATTTGGCAAAATAGTTCAGCCACTGGTGAGCCTTAAATAGGGCGAACCAATGTAAATAAGCCTTTTAATCTTCTACTCTTGAATTTCAATGGATTGCAAAGTCATGTTTTGCTTTTTGAGATGTTTAGCATACTTCAATTTGTCATAAATGTTCTATTTAAATAAATTTACTGATAGTGTGGCTAGAGAGATTCAACCCAGCTCTCCTAATCGGTTCACTCAAAGTTTAATTTTTGGCACTGGGTTGGTTTGGATTCAATCCATTAACTTTAATCATCATTTGAAAACTATCAGATAAATATAATATTTCCTTTGGTTAACTGTGTGACAGTAAAATCTATTGGATGTGCTTAAACCGTTACATGAAGAAAAGAAAAGAAAGCCAAAGAAGTCTATAATGGGGAAATACTGTCAGATTTGTTCATTTGAGAACTTATGATGATAGATGATTCAATTAAACAACAGTTTACTGCTCCTTGCAGAATGCAATAATGATGAGCAATGAAAGGAACATAATACTTAAACAGAACCACTCACTCATCTTCATCTAAAATCTCATCGTCACTATAAAGAGAACAGATCCGCTCCTTATGGTGATTGGGCACTTGCAGGGACATGTCCTGTAGAGGAGACAATTAGTGGTCGTGTTAAAAGCAGATAACAGATGGATGGAAGGTTTATAACACATCATTCATCCCCTTACCCTGTCTGCCACCTTCTTTTGCTGAACACCGGAGTTAAACAGGTCTGAGTCCACGTAGTCATCAGAACTGTCATCGACCGAAATAGGAACTAAAAAAAAAGAAAAGACAGAAATGAAAGAAAGTTACAAACATGAAATTAGAAATAAATTGTTCAACCAAGTTTTAGAACTTTTAAAAATGCAAGCAAGAATATTTCAGAATTTATCTTTTAAGTAGAAAAAAAAAAACACCTCTTATTTAAATCTTAAGAGATCCATCTTTAGACATTAGTTTAGAAACCTACAAACATTACCTCCCTGAGGTACTAGACACACAGGCTCTCCACTCAGAGGATATTGTAACAACACTCTGGACTCAGTGGAGGAAGTGGTCGAGAGGAGGGTGCTTTCCAAGCTTAGATCCATCATGGACGACACCTTCCACCCTCTGCATCAGACTGCAGAGGAGCTGAGCAGCTCCTTTAGTGAAAGACTTTTACACCCTGTTTGTAAAAAGGAGCTGCAACCAGACTCTACAATGCGACGCTACAACAGCAGTTACTTGTGCAATGTATAATGTGCAATTACTATTTGACACCCTGTGCAATAAACTGTATCTTTATATTTGACACCCAGTGCAATATATATATATATAAGATGTAGCGAGTAAATTTCTCCACTGTGAGATCAATAGAGTCAAACAATCATTCAACAAGGTTTCAAGGTTAGTAAACCTCTCTCAGTTTTTTTTAAACACTGAAGATTCTTTGAGGCCATATCAAATAGTGAACAAATCACATACATTTGCATTTATGATTCCCTCAATTACCAAAATTACCATCATTCATGAGGCCCCAAAGCTGTACACTCCCACCACCGGCTGATCTTTGTAGCCCTCCCCTTCTTGACCCCAGCTGTCTAAATAGGTCTGTGTCTCATCTGACCACAGGACATATTTCCAGGTTTTCACCTCCTTAGTCTCTTTGTCTTCAGCAAGCTGTTTAATTTTAAGGCCATCTCGTACATCATCTTTAGAAGAGGCATGCAGACCAAACTGAAGCGGAATGCGGTGTATGGTCTGAGCACCGACAGGCTGAGCCTCCAGTCCTTCAACCTCTGCAGCAATGCTGGCAGCATTCATACGCCCTGCACTGAACTTTGCTGGTTGACCACGGCGAGGCTTGCTGTGTCTAGAACGTGTCCTGTTTAACCACTGTATGATCTTGGCCACTGCGCTGCAGCTCAGTTTCAGGGTGTTGACAATGTTGTTACCATCGAGGCCATCTTTAATCTTTATGGGAGTTTTTCAGATCCTCAGAGAGCTAAGATACATTTTTGAACTCTCAGTGATCAGTACGAGAGAATGTGGGAGCAAGACATCAAAAAGACACATTTTGGACATTTTCACTTATTTTTCACTCATTTTATGTCAAATGTGTTTAGATGTTACCGACTGACTGGAGTTATTCTGAAAGGACAAAGAATGTTTGCTGTTATACAATTCTGATCCGACTACTTTGAACTGTTTTAAAGTGTCATATCTCCTGTGTTGTCCTATGAAGTTAATCAGTAGAATATTTACAAAAAGGTGAGAGATGTACTAACTTTTGTGAGATATTGTTCTTGCTAGTAACATGAGGTCTGAAGATGACACATTATATGCATTTTTTTAGTCTCTGTGTGCTTACAACCACGACCATTCAAGGAAATGCAGAAATACCTGCTGGGTTACGAGCTGTGTTGGTCACAGAAGAGTATACCTGCAAAAATACTCTAAAGAATTTGATTGCATAACCAGGTTCAAGTTTGTTTCTTGCAGTTTCTGTCCTTGCAAGAAAGAAAACGTTTTGGGGGGGGGGTTGTATTTGAACTAGGTATCAAATTTGAAGCACAACTGCCTGCCTTATGTCATGCAAAATATCAATGTATAAAATAATGAGACCAGAAGGAAGATTTATGAATATACAAAGGATTATTTACAACAACAAAAATCTAAATAGATGGAATAATATTTATGAAAAGATCTCCCAAATTCATGTGTATAAAGTAAAACAAGTAATATCAGATAATGTTATGCAATATGCATTGTTTGAACTTTAATTAGAGAGAGAAAAAAATGACCATTACAAAAGACAACAGTTCATCATTCAAGCTTTAAGCAATAATTAGGAAATTTAAATTTTTTGGATCAGTTGGATATTTGTATGTAAATAAAAAATTTGACCTACCAGCCCAAAAGAAGAAAAGGTTCCACCTCCTTCTCTTTTGTCTTTAGCTTTAACCAAAAATCACTGTATACTTGAAATCACTATGAGTTCTTCCTTAGATTGGTTTATTCTCACTGCAAGTAAGTTTGTGTTTTCCTTTAGAGTAGCTGCCTGAGTACTGCCTGTCTTAAAACCACCCAACAAGAGGGAAGGAGCACATTTTTCAAATTGTTCCTCTGCTTATTCTTGTTATTTCAACAGGTTGAGATGGCGCAAAATTATCTGATTGACACTTTGTAAGACACAGTGCTGTCTATACAGTCAAACGTGCTTGTTAACATAACCCTAACACACCAAAAATAAAGAACAGGGGCTACATCCCTGTACAACGTTTTACTGAAAACAGGGTGAGCTCCTTCTTCTGCTACCAAAGCTATCAAATAAAAAAAGAATCCTGTTTTGGGGTAAAAACAAAGTGCAGTTCCACTAAGGCACATAAAAAGTCTTTTTATTCTCAGCAACAAATAGAGGGCGCCAGTTCCCTGTTAACTGCACATGTGTAAAAGCATTTGAAAATTTGTTTACAGTGAAACTTGAGGGTTGGTGTTTTTATTTTAATTTCTTTATCTTTTAATCTAGTGTGTGTGCATACCTCTTTTCTAATTCTGCCCTGGGCAAATGCTCATATGGCCCACATCATCAGATCCTCCAGATTCCATGTTGCATATTCTGAGATATAATCTCTCCCGTTTCATTTTTTAAACCGTGCTCATTTAGCAGTATACAATCAGCATTACAAGATGTTCCCTCTTTGTTTAGAGCTTACTAAACTGTGCAGACGTGTGTGAGGGCGGCTTTGAAGACTGTGCACACATACCTTTACTTGTGTCATGATTGAGACTAATCGTCAAGGACAAATAATATTGCCTCCAGCATTTAAACCATGCAGACAAGGTTATTTCCACAAGTGTTGAAATCATTGCTTTGCTTAAAGGAATTTATTTCCTTCTTCTAAAATCAAGCTGCAACTTTTTAAGCCATTGCAATGTTTCAAAATGTGTAGACTAGTTTTTTTTAAAAGTGCAAGTATTAGCATTTTGCTACAGTGAAGCCTAAGAAGTTTCACAATGCTAAAAAAAAGAAGCAGGAGCTAGGAACAAAAGTTCTGAGCAGGCAAGCTTAAAAAAATCAACAACAGTTTAACTGAAATAGGCTGCTCAGCAGCTCATCAAAAGTTTCAGACACCAGGGTTTTAAAATCCAAACTCTGCAACAAATACAGGATTCAATGTTATTTTTGGTCAAGTATTAAGGCTCTTGCTGTCATGTCTTTCTGCAATATTAAGCTCTGGGGTTGGAGCGTTGGTGTCGAGCGCCACTGTCCTGCAGCTTTTGCATGTATCCTTTCTTCAACACACCTGAAACAAGTAAATGGTTCATGGCCAGGCCTCTGCTAAACCTACCAACATGCCAAGGAGGTAATTTCGCCTTTTGTTTCAGGCGAGTTGGAGCAGGGATGCATGCAAAAGCTGCAGGACAGTGGAGCTGGAGGAGCGAAGTTGCCTATAAAACTGCAAGTGAACATTCCACAGTGAAAAATACAAATTCTTGATTTTTTTTAAACAGTGCTAATATTTTGATAGGGAGTGCAATATTTCTTTTTCTTGTAAACGTTATGATTTTAATTATAAATGTCCAAACATTTGCTTTGTTATAAGGGACCCGTAGCACTTCATTCTTTAACTATAAAACAGCCTGTTTTTTAAGCCAAGATGTCGGATAAAATTACTGTTAGAGACATGTTGATTTAAACTGAAACATAATGAAACATTTTTAAATATCTTAAGCCAGCTTCTGCTTTACTGCTCCAAATAATTCTGATGAGGATGCACTGAAAAAAGGATCTTACAAAGACAAAAATACAAATCTATTTAAAAGCATGAGGATGCAAGTAGTAATTATGAAAGAAAAGCAACAATACATGTGAGAGATTTCTTTCAGCTTTGCAGTCCTAAACAAAATCCTGCAGATAAACAAAGGGTTGGAAAAAAACAGAAGAGTCGTAGGTTCCTGTTAAAAAAACTGTTTGGAACCAAAGTACCAGAAATAAAGAGGAGTTTTTTTGACCTACATAACATTGATGCCAACCATGACATAACTTTGATCTACCAGGAAGAGCATGACAGCTTTCAGGTGCTGGAAGGACATACTTTGTCTGTTTTAAAGACTCGTAACACTATAAGAGCGGTAGGAACTTAGAATGCCGAAGTATTAGGTTTTGAATAAATGCCATAAATAGAAGCTGTTCCTGTAAAGTTAAAGTAGGAACCAGGTGGTGAAAAAGTCTGCAGCACCGTTCCAACCCAGAGATGAACCAGATTATCTTGTTATAATAACACATCTCTTAAATCGTACGGATCTGTCTGGGGCATCTAGAAAGTTTACCTCAGTTTTAACAAGTACACTGATTTACTGTGAAAATAGTTCTGAAATGTTCTGAATAAACCTTCTGCATCGTCATTTCTCTGACAATTATTTACATTGGTTTCATTTCATGAATTCAACAGATGACATTCAGAATGTGAACGGAAATACTTCTTTCACTTTGAGTCTGGATCTACATATTTTAGGAAATTGTTGCTTATCGTGAATGTTGCTGAACTCACAAGGAGGTTTGCAGATCCTCCTTGCAGGCAGAGCGGGCTGTGATTCAGGCTGAGCGGACAGCTGGCTGTTTTCCTGTGTTTGCGGCGTCCTGCTGCGAAGTGGGATCTGCGGAGTGGTGTTTCTCTGGATCAGCTCCTCAGTTCCAGTCTTGGTTGCAGAGGGGCTGGGGGGTAAAAACGAACAGGATAGGTCAGCAGGGCAATGGAGAGAGGAAGAGGAGTCCTCTGACACCATGGTGGCATCAGATCGGGTGAAAAATCCACGCAGAATGCCGAGTTTGAACATCCTCTGTCAAACGGTTCTCCTTTGACACCTCACTCCTCCCTGTGTTGAAACTAGAGAAATCACTGCATGGGAAACTTCATACTTATACAAGTATGATTGCTAAATATTCATCCACCCGAACCGGATCAAAAAGAGTGAATCAAGGTATAAAAACTTGTCTAGAACTGCACATGAACTGATCCAAGAGAGAGAAAACTCTTCTGTTTTTCCTTCTTTGCTTCCTGGTTAAGCTGCAGGTTCTAACATGCTCAAGCTGTGGGACACAGTCACAGTGTAAATAAACAGTACCTGCAGTACCACTGATATGACATCAACACACACACACAAGATAAAACCTGGAAATGCATGCTGGTTGCACCAGATCCCTATCATCAACCAAATATTATTAATGCTGTCATACTTTTACCATTTTATAAGGACATTGTAGATAAAAGTTAATTATCTTAGGCAGCGATTAAAATTTTAAATACCTGCAAGATTATTCAAAGGATATCCATAGTTTCCAGGCTTCAGCAAGTAAAAATAATAATAAAAAATAATCCCTGATTGAGACCATTAGAAATCACATTTAAGACGGTAATAACCTATGAAATGTGAATAAATCTGATACAATTGTCACCAAATTACTTATATTCTTTAATAGAAATAATCGTCAGGGCTAAGATTAATTTAAAAAAGCAGATCTGTTTATTGGGTTGCTTTGAAAGCTGCTAAAGACATTCAGTCTTCAACACATCACCTGTTTTCTTGGATTGTATTGTATCATGACTGATGCATTATGCTATTGCTGGTAAGTATTTTTTCATGCATGTTACATTTTGAAACCGGATGTATAAAATATTGTTTGCAGTTTTTTCACTCGATTACTTTATTTTGGGCTTCTCAAAGAGTACTCTAGTTGGTGATGAAATCTGGGTGTAGTAATGGGCTCACCTGAACCTTTAAAGGCATATAAAGACTGTGAAAAACAATCAGCTTTCTATTACCTAAAGAACATCTCTGGTATTAAAGGACTAAGATCTTATCAGGATCTTGAAAAACTCATTTATGCATTCATCTTTAGTAGAATAGATAACTGTAATGGTGTCTTCAAACAGCTGCAGGTGATCCAGAATGTAGCTGCCTGTGTCCTCACCAAAACTAAGAAAGCGGAGCACATCACCCCTATCCTAAATTTATTACAATTTCTCCCTGTATGTCAGAGAATAGACTTTTTAAATCCTTGTGTTACACTATAAATCACTGAATGGCTTAGCTCCAAAATATATTACAGACTTGCTGCCAGGGTTTCAACCTCCCAGGTCTAATGACTTCATTATACTTGGCATACCTAGAACCAAAACCAAACTAAGAAAAGCAGCGTTTAGTTCCTATGTTTCACTAATGTGGAATAAACTCTGAAAACTCAGAAAGTGCTGAGGCCTTAATTGCTTTAAATCAAGATTAATAACACCTTATAGACTCTGCTATCTAAACATAATTAGTAAAGTTTTCAGTTTTTTTTCATTACATTCTCGTGATCTTTTTAAAGTAATTTATCAATCTTTTTTTAGCACTTAATTTTTTTTTATATGATGCTCTTATTTTAATGTCTTACCCTTATTTTCTTTAACTATTTGTGTTGCCTCTATGGAACTGCAATGTCTTTTCATTTTTCTCTCATATATAGACCACTTTGGATTGTTTTAAACAGATTAGGGCTTCTCAGCAAGCAGTTGGTTGGTTTGCAAACTGTCTCACCAGCAGAATCCTAGCTGTCCACAAAAGCTTCTTTCTTTGAGGTTATACAAGTTAAAAAGGCTTTAAGTTCTGTACAAGGTCCATTATCACTCACTGCACCCTCTAGTATCTTCAACTGGCTTTAAATAAGACTTCTAGACACATTGTATAATTTGCAGCTTGTCCTTAACGCTGATAAAACAAAACACATTTTTTAACAGCTCAGATAAAGAATCTTGGTAAAACGTTTAATAAGAAACTCTAGCAACTCAAGTTTATATCTACAATCATACAATCAAGTTTCCTAGAACTCATCGATTAAATTCCATTAATACGTATCAATGGCATTTAATTAATGAGCTCTAGGAAACTCTTGAAAGTATGACATAAAACTGATTAAAATTGAAAATATGTCCTTTTATTATAAAATGAATAAATGTTCAAAAGATCTTAATTTTAAAGTATTGATGTGAATTATATGGATGCTTCTGTTCAGTTTCTAAATGGTAGACAGTATGAACCATGGGTCAATAAGATTAATTACAAAATTATGTACCCTTCCTAAAGCTAGGCGACCCCCTATTTCAAATGGATGGACCCCTTCGTCTGTTCCAATTTGCATGTTTTCAAAGCAAAAACAAGGCTTTGTTGGGCTACTGTATAAAACCTCGAACTCAATTCAATTCAATTCAGTTTATTTATATAGCACCAATTCACAACACGTCTTCTCACCAGATCCTGCAGTCAAATTGATTCAAAGTTATCTAAGGAAAATCAACTCATTGACTCGGATTCAATCCCTCACACTAAGCATGCTTATAGCGAAAGTGGAGAGGAAAAACTCCCTTTTAACAGGAAGAAACCTCCAACAAGACCCAAACTCAACGCTATTCCTGACATTTGGAATTGAAAAATCTTCCTGGATGGGAAGCGAAAAGTCTTCAGACTTGGAAATAAAGTCCAGTCTATTGTTTTTAATTTTCTTTCTTTTTGGGGGGGAATTCCTAATGACTGTACGCTGTATGCTAAAGTTAACTGGATGTCTGCCTTTCAACTAAGTCATTCATTTGTTTACAGAATCATTCTAGAGATCACCCCATCTCACCTGTCCAAAAGCAAAGAAAAAAACAAAACCCATAATCTCTGAATCATTAGATCAACAAGGCAGGCACTAGTTGGAGACATTAAACTCCCTCGACCGAGAACAAACTATCTAAAATCTACAGTGTACATAGAACCATTTGTTACTGGAACCAACTGCCAATAACCACGCCAAGAGTCCAGAACAGAACAAGCTTCAAAAAGATACTGTCTTCAGAACTACTGCAGATGACATGATAAACTGACCTGTGTATTTATGTTGTATATTTCTACACTTTTTAATGTTCCTATTATTTCCTACTGTGCAACTTGTGCATTTTTTTAATGGTTTGTTCATAATGTAATTTCTTTATATGAGGACCCCAGGAATTTAGGCCATTTCTTTGGCAGCTAATGGGGATCCTAATAAAACTAAACTAATTAGATGTTCTGCAGATTTGTTATTGTCAAAATCCGAGTTGAATCAGGCCATAGATCCTTCTGGCTTGCAGCCTCCGCTCCTTTGAATCAACTACAGCTTGATCTATAACTTAAAGGTTTGTTGAGACTGAAGCAGCATACATTTTCACTTAAACCTTGAAACACATCACTAACAAACAGATAAAAGATGTATAAATACTGTACCTCAAACCACCAGGGAGGTAAGTCTAAGTTCCTAAAAAAGCAAAACAAACATCTGCAAAATCTTTCAAAAGTGTCAATCTCTCTTCTAGTTGTGGTATTTTTTTTAATAATGACATTAGCTGAAGACCTTATTTCTGTATCATTACAATGTTGTCAATTTTTTCCACTGATGTTGGTTAATTTTCCAAGAACAAATGCGTAACAGATCTAAGGCTGAAGCAACTGGAATTATATGTTTCAGTTTCATAAAAAAGGAAGCCAGGTCTAAGACTGAACTGATGCTCAGAACAAAAAGAAAACTTCCAGTGTCTAGTTTTCACAACATTATGTAGAGTCACCACCCACGCAGCAGCCACATGACTACTGCATCTTAAACTAGAGCTCACTAAAGTGTGAACCACACCAAGGGCCAGTTTACTTCCTGAACTAAGGAGTTTAAGCTAAGAGAGAAAAGCAAAAACAATTAAAATTTACACAAAAAATATTTAATGTGCACAAAAACTAAGGACACCTGATAAAACCGACTGTAAGGATAAGTGGTGTACCTTTTCAGGCAAGCAAAAAAAAAAAATAAGATACAGACTTTTGCGTCCAAAATGTGACAATTCAAATCCTGACCTCCACTCCGCCCATTTTAATCCACCTGTTTCTTCCCTACCCCATGTGGACAACATTCTGATTATCTCTTGGAACCAGATTTAGCCAGATGATTATCGCTGTTTGTAAAAGTGTGCATAATCTAGGGCTGAAACAATTAATCAGATTAACCATGATCAATCAATTGAAATAATCGTCAACTAATTTAGTAATCGATTAATCCTTAAATGGTGTATAGAGACTCTAAAACATGCTTTTAGCTGAAAGAGAGACCCACTTTGAGCAGCAATTATACCAAAATAGTAAAAAGAATATTTTACATAAAAAAAAAAAAAAAATGTCATCTGTCAATCTGCTGTATCTAGAACTCCACAAGTGGAAAAGTTTTAGTTTCACCTGGTTTAATTTAGAAAAACATCTTCTTTAAAGAACCTTTGGTTGGCCGATTATTAATCAACTAATTAAAAAAATAATCAACATTTTAATCAATTTGCAAAATACTCATTAGTTGCTGACCTAGCATAATCCATAACGAACTAATGCTTTTATTAGTTTCTTTTCCTTAAGGCTTCTAAAAAAAAGCTGCCTGGTTAAAATCTGGCTCTAAACATGGAGCCGTTTATTAATCAGCCCTTCATGACTGTATTTACTCATCGCACCACTTCCCCCTGCTAATAAAATCAACAAGAAACATCCACACACTGCTAGCAAAGCTTCCGTCATATTCAGTCAGGAGACCGGTGGTTAAGACTATTTCATAACATAAAAACTTCTCATCACAGTCTTAAGGTCTTTGGTCAGACGGCGGATATCGATAAATCATTTGGAAGGACTCAACGCAGAGACGTGCAAATTGCACAATGAAAAACAAAACATTTAACAATAGATTATCAATAGGCTTGTGTTTGGAGTGTAGAAAGCCTCAATGCGTGGAAAATAATCCACAAGGAACGATGCATCACATTGGTTGCTAATAGATGTAGATATGAAAATTGCCATACTTAAAAAAAATCTTTCATGTGCATTTTATGCCTCATCCCATTTTGGGATGGAGGGTTTAAAATGTATGCAGGTCACCTTTGCCATGACATCACTGTCCGTCTTATTTCCCCCCATATTTAATGTTTTACCATCAAAGAGGAAAGTTTAATGTTACATAAAGCATCGATGGGAAGGAGAGGGAATAAAAAAGCAATCCTCCATCCTTGATCCGGAGCACCATGTTAAGTCTCCTGGTGCGAGAAGGACCGCGAGAATGTTGAGGACAACTGGACTACAGTAATGGAGAACACCTGGGTTAAAATTGTCCACCCTCTGCTATTGAGTACACATCTACGGGTCCAACTTTTCTAGTAAACATCAAAGTAAATTAGGAAAACTGTGGTGGCTCATCCCATCTCAACTCTCAAGCATTAGGGAAAAAATTTACGCTTTGGGAAATATTTATGTTTTCTGCTAGAGGGATATCATAGAATTAAAGGGGCCAATAAACTGGACTGTTAAATGTGAAATTTAGGATGATAAAACTAAAGATGGGTTGTGGAAGAGTCATTAGGCCTAACATATCGCAGGGGCTTAATCAAGTGGCATGAAAGTCAGGAAACGGCTTCACAAGTTTCCAGATCTAAATCCTCTCTGTAGAAAGAACTGATGCTTCCAGCTTGCAAAGAAGATCCCAAAAAACCCCAAAAGGATTTAAGAAGCCTTTACAAAGAGCTTTGAGTCCAAAATCAACCGAGATAATCTGGTTATAAGCTATAGTCCTACAGTCTGATAATAACAAGCAAACCAATTTAAAATCTGTAAACATCCTTTTGAATGTTGTTGAGATTTTTCTCTCTGTCCTAAAATACAAACTAGCATAACATGAAATTACTTTTTATATTGTTTTTTTAATTGTACAACTAAAAATATGAGATGATTCAATACACACGTATTCCACAGTATTATTTACAAAATTCTAATAAAAATTGCGCACAGTTTAACTGTTGGTAAGCTGCCAGGAAAATCGGACATTTCTGTGAGTCCACTATTGTGAAAGTTCCTCTTTATCCCATTCTCTCACAGTTTCTGAAAATCCAGCTCATGATAATAACTGTCAACTGTGAAAAGTTCCCAAGCTAACAAATGTGCAATTCTACACCAAGAGTCTACAGGTGAAAACAATTGGTAGTTCCTATTCTGCCCCCACATGCTGCCATAGTAGAACAGACGATTAAATTTTAAATAACTAGAAGGCAAAGCCCAAATCTTTAGGAAAATGCTGTAGAGACACTTTACTTAAGGGATTGGGATTCACACTCCAGCGGGACGACCAGCCAAAATATACAGCTGGACTCCCAGTGGGACGGTTTCCATCAAAGCATATTCATGCAGGAATAGAGTCACCTGAACCTCAATCAGAAACTGGAATACAGTATAGAGAGTTGATTTTCATAAAATAAACAGATTTTAATTCTCTGCTAATGCGCAGCTGGTAGAGACATATCCCTAAAGATGTGCAGCTGCAACTACAGTGAAAGGTCGCTTTAAAAAGTAGTAGAGTCAAAGTGCACAACAGACTTTTCAAACAAACTAGATTAAAAAAAAAATAAATAAACGTTTTACTTCTTTCCACCCTACACATATGCAAAATGTGAAAAAGTGAAAGCTTACATAAAAAGGCAGGGAAATGCAAAAAGTCATTCTTTACCACTGTGCTGCATCTCCTCCAGAGGAGGTAGCTGCAGACGTCTTCTGTGAGCAGATACTTTGCTGCCTAATGGCACTTCAGCAGTTATTGAAAAACACAATCTTTGTTGCACAAATTACTCATCAGACTCAGTTATATCCTGGTTTTTCTTTCTTAAATCAAACCACTGAGCATCAGAAAAGAAAGAAAAAAAAAAAACACAGACAATAACGGGAAACAGGCCCCTAGTTCCCTCTTTTTCTCAGAGGAAGAGTGCAGAGTGGGGTTTGCTAGCTTGGCTCTATATTTAACTCCATCTCTTCTAAATAACCATGACTGTAACCTGAAGAAACAATGACTGTTGCTTTTCTCCACCCACGTTATGTATATTCGGTTTTTAGGCAGTTAAAAACCAACGTCCCGAACAATGGTTCACAAAGTATTTGGTAACTGGGTTTGAAAAACAAGGGGCGTTTTTCTTTTTGGTTTGTTTTGGGTTATTTTTAATTAGCAAGTGTATCTGCTGCAAACATTGGTTAAAAGCAAACTAAATGCAGCACAGCAGCTAAGCGAGGAGCTCTGCTATAAATAGCATTTGTTACTTTGCTTTTAAAAAACTCATAAGATGAAAACAAACAAAAACACATAAGATAAGCCGCATCGTATCCCACTTTTTAATCCGATGCGTTAGCTCTCTGAAGTGGGAAGATCTAAAGGTTAAAAGCACCGATAAGACCATCAGTTCTGCAGTGACTGTCCACCGCTGGGCAGGACCAAGCCTTACAAAAAAAAAAAAAAAAGAAAAACTCTAAGAGAACTCATCGATATCTGCTCGTTCTTCTCAAGATAAAACTAGCGAATAGACAGATGCTCCTCTAACTGCAACCTGTTTCTGTAGACTGTAGGCTCAGCTTCTACCCACCACAAACCCAACTCAAAAAAAGACTTGTTTTATATAAACATTACCTTCCATAACATGTTCATGAGGAGTCCTCTTCCATGATGATACCATCTTAAACACAAACGCATCAAAAAAAAAAAAAAAAAAAAAAAAGCAGGAGGAAATGACTTTGTAACCAGAAAAGGGGAGGGGGCAGAACGCCACACTACACTGACAAGGAAGAAAGAAAGTCTCATCTATAGAGTATGTGTGCTGACGAAGGCTGCAAGAAGTCCGGGGATACTTCCTGGTCACAAATCACTTTAGACTTCTCAATCTATATTTTCCACCCTCTCTTTCTCCAAGCTGATGGGGAGAGTTTGAAAACTGCTGCTTGTTGTTCTGCATTGTGACTTCCTCACACTTTCTAAAGCTAGTTTCCCTTAAAAACACAGGCGAGTGTTAGTCATGACAGAAGCACTCTATAGACACAAGCTTTTTGACTGTAAGATCTGGTAAACTGTAAAGAGCCTTGAGATAACATGTGTTGTGAATTGGCACTATATAAATAAACTGAATTGAAATTGAACTGAAGCACAAGGTTAAGCTTCAGGTTTCCCTAGTGTGGAGAGAAAAAAAAAAATAAGAGAAAGCGGTTATCTGTCTGGTTTGCCATCATTGCCAAACATGCAAAAAAATACTATTAACAGGAATCAGCCAATATAAACAAAACTAACTTTTCTCCAGGTTGAAGTAAAGTATGAATATGAATTTTTGAACACTGTACATTGGGTAGCAACTGCAGGAAAAGCTTAAAAACTAGATCATTTTCTTCCTAGTTGCGTTATGTACACTTCTCCTGTAAAGTATGAGCAATATTTTATCAGAGAATCAACCAGGTATAGTTTCAGCAAACCCACAAAACTGGTGTGTTACAGTTTGTCAGTACTAGGAAGTGCTTAATTTTACTTAGGGGAAGTGCTAGAAACTGCAATATGAAAATCTCCTGCACACCTTAAAAATGATAAGGGGTACACTGTCACAGCTTGGCCAGTAGGTGGAGCTGTAGGTCAGAATAAGTCAAAGCAGAGCTCTTATTGACTCACATTTCCCAGTAAATCTAACCAATTTACTATCATCATTGATGTTTTTGGGTCTATTTCTTTTGCTTGCAATAGTAGTTTTAACTTTCTAACAAGTAACCAGTCTAATTTCAATGGAAACACCGGTCAAGTCCTCCAGCTGGATGCTAGTGGACTTAATACAGAAAAAAACATGTACACCTAGTTTTAAAAAGGGCAGAAGGATAGGAAATACTTCAAAATAGCCTAAAGGTAGTGAAGTAAATAGGTTTACTTCAAGTGTGATTTTGCATGTTTGTTTTTAAACTACATTCAACCGAGCAGATACAGGAAGTGATAGAGGAAAAGGAAGGTGGAGCAGGGGTTTGAAAAGAGGAAAAAGGAATGTGTGAAATACTTCAACTGATTTTACTTTAACTCAGTTCCAGCCTTGTTTATTAAACACATGCAAGCTACCAGTTGTAGCTATTTTCCTTCTCTACTTATTCCAACCAAAAACTATGTTTGATAAACGTTAAATTTATGTCACAATAATAATATGTCATAGCATTGTTCGAAATATATCCTTTGCTCCATAGACGGGCATAATGTAATAAATTTAAAAAGCCTCTTTATCAAAGAAACTGTGCCACATTTTCCTGTGGTGTGGTGTTATAGTCCTTCAAAAGTTAAAATCGGGGTTGGCATATCAGATTTCCAACTTCAGACCATGATGGTGATCTTTGCTGACTGGAAAAAGCCTGTTTGTTAAATCTCATATTAAAAATAGGCACACTTACCTGATGAACACATATATTTCACACTTCTTCTATATGTGTTTTTATATCTTAGAATCTAAAATAAATGACCTCTTTTTAATTTTTATTTTGTTTCCTGCTTGCTGCCTGTTACCTGCTCTTCTCATCAGACTGAAGTTGATGCAGGGCTCACCTGTGTGTTTTAGGAGATTGTAGAGGAACCCGCTGAGGGATGGGAGGTGGACCTTTAGGTCCTACTTTTGGAGGAAGAGGTGGGATGTGTCTGTCCTCAGTGGGAGACGAAGATGAGGAGATAGGTGAAGCTTTTCTGATTTCTTCCCTCCCCAAAGATTGGGTAGCCGGCTGGATGGCTAATGTCTGAGGCCTAGTTAGGCAAGAAGGGAGGCTGGGAGTTTGATCCGTTGCTTCTGTAGAAACAAGGCTGGTGATGGGGGAGGAATTCTGGGATGAAGACCTGCACTTTACTTCCGGAGGTACAGGAACAGTGTTGTCCGAGGAGCCACAGTGTTGACCAGGAGATGAGGTGAAGCGCTGCGGGGGACAGTTAGGGGTGCTGCGCGGCGGGACAGGCGGTAGAGAAATGTCAGACAGTGGAGACGCAACAGTTATAAATGGACAGTTTACTGAAGTACCAGAACGAAACTTAGTCCTCTCCTTTGGTACCGGTTTAGCCTTTTTTTCATCCGGCGCTCCACTCTTCTCCTCCTCCTTTCCTCTTTCAGGAGCTGGGTGTCTTTGTTGAGGAACGGGCTTCGGTTCTCTTTGTTCCATACTGTTGTCTTTAATGTTGGACACATTTCTCTGCCTTGGGACTGGTTTGTCCCTCTCTCTGGGTGTTGGTCTCCCTGTAACTACATCCATTTTATCGCTTTCCACTTTCCTTTGCGAAGGCACAGGCCTCTCTAACCTCATAACCTCAGGATGACAGGTCGGCTCAGATCTCTCAGGCTGTAAAAGGTTAGGGTAGTCTTCAAAACTACCAATCATTTTGTTAAGGCTTGCCAGGATTCGTTTCTGATGACCTGGAGGCGTGATTCCCATCCGGTCTAGCCGATCTGGCGTAAGGTCGCGGCACTCATGTAACGTTGCTAGCCCAGCCTCCTGGAATGCTTCGCCGTACTGCTCCAAGTGCAGCATGCTCAGCCAGTCGCACACCTTAGCACCAGATTGGGACTGAGACATGGCCTGGGTGGTGTGTGTTTGCAGCGTGTGTGAGGGTCAACACGCCATGTGGGTTGGTTTTCATGAGGAAAAGGTCGATCTTGGTGAATCAGTTTGTGGCTCTGCAACCTGTGGTAGAGACACAAACAGCAACATGTCAATATAACAAACCACATTATAAAGCTTTGGATTGATTTTCTGATTAAAAACTGTGTTTTTGCCCCCATGAACAAGGGGAGGGTATGTGGTTTACCAAAGGCAGGTTAGTGGTATGGCATGAACACGAAAAACATTGAGATCAAGATACAGTAAAAGCCATTTACATTCATCAGCAGTGTCTCTGAACAGAGTGTTAGTTTGTGGGAGTGGGTTTCACACTCACAACCTCAGGATTTTAAACTCTGGCCCCGTCCACACGAAGTCAAAACGAACACGAAACGCTGATATTTTCCAAAACGTTTGCCGTAAAGACGGAGACGTAAAATAAATGTGAGCGTCCACACGAATGCATGAAAACGCTGCAAAATGTATGCCAGGCCTGTAAGTGGCGCTGTGGTGCCAAAGCAAAAATAAGCGACGAAATGTTGGGCATGCGCACTAATATTTATACATGGTTGCCCTGCGGGTCCATTTTCGTGGTTAAGTCAAATTCAGGTGCTGAACTATGTCGTCGATATTGCTCTGTTCTTCCTGGAGATATTCCAGAAGAAGAAGATTCTGTTGTAAGCCCAACAGCAGGGTGAGAAGCATTAGCAGCAACAGCGCCATTGTTGTTGTGATACTGGTCGCGCATGCGTGTTTAGAGGCGACGCTATGACGCATGCTTGTAAAAAAAAATATGCGGTTAGAGCGTAAAGATGGAAACGCGAAAACGGCGTTTCGAAATCTTCCCACTCTGAAGGCTGAATAAAAAAAAGATCGTTTACAGACCCCCGAAACGCCGGCTTCGTGCGGATGAGAGGCTGGTTTGGTGAAAAATTTGTGCGTTTAGGCCAGGGTTCGTCTTCGTGTGGACGGGGCCTCTATTAGTTAAAAGGAGGCAAACCAGTGAATGTATCCTAATGAAACACCTTAAACTAACATCTTCCTTGTGTGACATCATGGAAATTAAATTAAAACAAATCAATAAAGATATCAGCACTAGAGGTGCATGTACAAAAAGTTGCATGAAGCATAAACAATGCCTGAAACTCCAGTAATCATATTGTTTAGAAAGAAGACAGGCTTATTTTCCCCGAGTAGAACATGTTTTGCTGTGAACCTCAGAGCGAAAGCAAAAGACCTTGTAAAGATAATGTCTGAAACGAGTAAGAGCTTATCATTACTCACATTTTATCAAGTCCTGCACTGAGATGGGATAAAAAGGCACTCAGAGAGCAAGAGGAAACTGCAATCGAAAAGGTCCCGTTATAGTTTGGAAATGCACTCCTGGACAGAGACAACTTTCTCATGGTTTGATTAAGCTCAAAGTGAAGTGTTTCAACATAACGATTGTCCAATATTCTAAGAAAAAAAAGGAAATAACAGGGGTGGCAGCTTCACTTTGTGAAGGCGGACTGGAGTGCTTCACAAAGCAGAAACCATTTTATTGAAGCAACATCTCAAAACATCAGCCGGAAAGTTGAAGCTGGGGCATTTGGAGGTTATGCAAATGGAAGCTGACCCTGATCATATCGTCAGAGTACGTTAAAAAAATGTGCAAGTAGAGCTGAAAAGGGAGCGTTTGCACAGCAGGGGACACCACTGCTATCCGGGGGGGATGGACCACATTTCAACAAACTATCTGAAGAAATCTGTTAAAAGATACCTTTCAACAGCCTCCTAATTACCAGTCTTGCCTTTTAATCAAACAATATAAAAGGCAAATTTACAAAGAAAAGTTAAAATAAAAGAATTTAAAAATATTCTATTCCACTTATTTAGGCATTTAGAAAATATAAAATAATTTTGATAAAGCTATGCAACTTCTGATAGAATAGTAAAGTTAACAAAAGGAATTTGAAAAATAAGAAAAAAATGTTCCCAGATGTGATGTTCCGTCATTATTTCCACTATTTATTCACCTTTGAAAGATAAAGTGCAGCTAAAATTATATCAAGATATAGAAATGTACTACGTATATTAAAGATAAAGACGGTAGCATGTTAGGTGTTAAGCAATGACACACTAACAGTTTCCTTTATATTCTGTATCAGCAACATCGCATTTGCTTTTAATTTAAGGGTAAACTTACGGGTTTAAGTAACAAAATTAATTTATGACTGCTTAATCTGCATGTCTCAAAATCCATGCATCACTTGACTTCAAGTCTGTAAAAATATTTCGACATATCACAGGCCTCTCTCTCCTCTACAATAGTTTTTCTCACTTACAATATGCATAAACCAGCACATTGCATGAACCCACAAAATTCTGATGAAACCAATTTCTCAGAATCATTCAAATTAAAATAAACATTTAAAAAAATTGCAATTCCTTTTATTCTATCAATATCGATCTAAAACAATAGTAGGGCTCATATAGAGTAGTATTCATGACATAAATTGGTCACAACGGTTGGAACATGTTTCTTAGAAGTCCATAACTTCCTTATCATCTTATAATATTATGCGATACCTTATTATCCTGGTATCATGTAGCCCTAGTTTAATAAGATGTGAAGCATCAGTTGTAGAAAATAAACAGCGTATGTCTGTGAATTTGGCACCTTTTTATCCATGCAGTGGATCCCATTGAATCTAAACTCAGGATTGTTCTGGAACATCTGATGTTTATATTCGGATTTCAAGCGATCAAAATATGTCATGTTTGCAATTTGCTGAAGACGGTTTTAGATTAACATGCGTATTTCACCTGCACCTAGACTTTTAAACAGATTGTTTTGCCAAGAAGGGAATCGTTTATTTGCAATTTATGTTTAATAAAATCCTGTGTCTTAAAAAGAGTTTTTTCCCTCCTTCTTCAAACGGACAGTTTGTCCTTTTAAATAAAGCAGAAGTTTGACTGTATCTGTAATCTGCTCATTTATTATCAGCTTGCTTATTTTTATTTATGTGCTCAGTCAGGTGGGAAAAAACATAAAAATGTTAAAGTACTGTAAAATTAGAATACAGTAGGTTGCCATCACTTTAAAATACAACCTGGATGACGCATTTTCACCACAGTAATAATTAGACTTTAAGGAAGCTGCGACCATGAAGGTTTTTTTTTTTTTTAAAGTTGTGCTGATAGGAGATGGAAACCTTTCTTTAAATGTAAGAATTAAATTTAATGTATTGATTTGGAGACATATTGTCCTCTCAAACTGCCACAGAGAATACCTCTTCCCCTTTAATTTCTCTCAGTTAAAACAACAAAAAGGGAGAATAGTTTATTTTGTGTGGCATTTCAAAAGGAAATTTTCAATGTAGCCCTATAGGTTAACTGAGAGCCTTTCCCCTCTGTAAACCAAACCAAATGGTGGCAATGATCAACTGGGTTTCCAGAAATATTGTATTTGTAAAGAGGGTCTGTTGCAGACTGTTGCAATTATTGGTTGTAGAACGTCAAATTGTGGTAACAGATAATAAATGCTGTGATTGTAAGGATTCTCAATTAAGTTTTTTTTCCAAATTGAGGGCTGACAGCTCAGTCAGAGTGGCTTGTGATAAACAGGCAAGGTATAAGTCTCACTTGTTGAAAGAGGAAGTTGTGTTAAAACCTTTACGGGGGCTCTCATTTTTATCAGCGTGTCTTCGGTTGAGAAGTCACACTGTAACGCCTACATTCCTTTTCCTGTGATACAAATAAGTCAGTCAAAATAAACTGATCTGCGCACATGTTCTATAAACTGTCTTCAATTTGTGACCAATCATTGCTTCTGGGTAGTCAACACTAAGTGTTTGGGCAATGCCACTAAAGAGCCCTATGAGAGGAAGTGTGAATGACACTAGTGCAAGCATACAAATGATCTGCTCACTGACTCACTAACTTCTCCTTACATCTCTACAACTCGTACTTGCTGGATTCTTTGCATTGAAAGCAGTTTTTTTTTTGCCACAGGGTCTTTTCTTCTGTATTCTTCTGTGTTTTCTGTCTCTCTTTTCCTTTAGCAGGGGTTTTATTCATCTTCCCATGCAGTGAGTCCTGGCATATCAATGAAGTACATCATATCGAAATGTCATCTTGATTAACAGGCTTTCAGTGGCAGCTCCCACACTGCAAACAGCTTGGTAAAAACTACTAAATGCATTGCAACAAATGCATTTAGGGTTCCTTTAAAAGAATAAAAAGAAAGATGATATGAAAAACTCACAGTCAAAAAGCAAACAAGTTTTGACCTGAGGGGAAACTGCTAGTTTCCTTATGCAGGGTTTCATCTCTATGCACACACCATTCTAAACTAAACGAGGGACTGAAAGACATTGGGATGTATTTGGAATTTCTTAAATGTTCACCCAGACTTTTAACTGTTAGAGCTTTTCCATCAAAGGGGTCCCACTTCTTATCCAGGACTGTTGCTAAGCCAGTTCTTTGTTAATATGTACCAAAACTATTTTTTTTGCTCACTTAATTAACTTTGGAGTAATATGGACTCTTATATTAAATAGGAAAAGGAAAGATTGATGATGTCAGGGACTATACACGTTTTTTTTTTACACATAAATACTAAATGATACATAAATATACATGTTATGAATTTTACATAATGCTTAAATTAATTTGTTTTCTTCCTTGACTGTCTAAAAAGTTATTAATTTATGGTTGATCCTCTGCAGGGTTTGTTTAGTCTTTTTGTGCAGGATAAGTTATATTATTCATCTCAGTATCACTATAGAGGTGAAACCAGCAGGAAGCTGTAAGTATTCAGTTTGACTGGCCGTCATTGGGTACTGGAAATGGATAGAAAAATAAAACTATCAAGTTAACTCTTTAGTTATGGTAGTTGTTACTGTGAGAGGTGGAATTAAAATTAAAATATATCACCACTGCATCTTATTTTGGTCAGCAGTGGTTGCAGTCAATATAAAATGCAAAGCTCTGAGGGGATCGTGCTTTTTCTGTGGCAGCTCCTACAGTAAGCTGTGGAATGATCTGCCTCTGCGCATAAGACAGGCCTCTTCTCTTGCTGTTTTTGAAGTCCCTTCTTA